CCCCAGATTTCTTTTATACATCTTATCTTGTTAGAATATTGAGTCCTAAACCTGTTTAAAAGACACTTTTCTGTCATAAAATAATATCAGAGAGAAGAATTAGTAATACGAAATTTATTTCTTTGTTTTTAGCATATAAGCTTCATAGTCCCTTGTGCAAAAATAGAATTCCATAGTAATCAAATGATGACATTTGTTTGTGACTTTTGTTACTATCTGTTTAAATTCCGAGCCTGTCTTTTTACTGACAGCAGAAAAACTGAATCTAAAGACCAAAAATACAATTAGCCCAATCCAGTGATTTCTTCAGAAGTCAAGGTTTACTTCATAGTCGAGTTTACAAATACCATCTGGCTTTTTCTGCTTCCTATCTTTTCTGGCCCCAAGAGGCCACAGGTAATATGCAGAGAAAGAGGGCCTTACATATATGATGGGCAGGAGTTAATAATAAGAAAAGAGCCTCTGTATCAGTCTGCAGTTGATGTCTGTTGTTGGCACAGTGATTAACTCTTTATTCTCTAGACAAGGGACATAATGTACTTTCCTGGCGACTCGGTGGTAGAGAATCCACCTGCCAAGGCAGGAGACTCAGGAGACGTGGGTTCAGTCCCTGTGTGGGGAAGATCCCTTGGAGGAGGAAATGACAACTCACTCCAGTATTCTTACCTGAAAAATCCCATGGACAGAAGAGTTTGGTGGGCTGCTCTCCATGGGGTCACAAAGAGTTGGACAGATCTGAGCACACATGCACAGGAAACTTAATGCTGCCTCAAGGTAACATGTTAGATGAGGACAGTCAGCCATCTGGACTTAGTGTACTTTCTTGGTAAGAGTAATTTTTATTCCTCACTGTCTCATTCCTGGCTTTTTAAAATGTACTATGACCAGAGTACACGGGTGTTTGCATATGGCCTGGGAGATCTCTTGGCAGAGCCAACTGCTTTCCCCTTTACACATTCTGAGTCTTCTACTTGGACATATAGGGAAACTTAGGGTTCCGTTTTCTGTCTAATTGTGATTTCACACACCCCAGCCACCAAAAATAGGAGATCATGGGGGTAAGAAAGTGAGTATCCAAACACTGTTCTTGCTTTTTCTCATTACCTAGTTCCTTGCCTTTCCCTTGAGTTCCTCTTCTTCCCCCATTTTTGGGAGAGGGTGAGGTTCATAGTGCAAAACATGGTATCATGCATTTCACCATTCTCAAACTGTCCTTTGCTCAGCTGGGTCTGGTGAAGTTTACTTCTAATCAATTTGGGGGTTAGGGTCACACAGGAAGTAAAACCTGTCATTGCAAATGTTCTCCATATTTTCATTGTTTCCTATCTCATTTCTTACATGTAAATCATTGCTTTTAAATCATTATAATCAAATAACATGTTTTTTTCCTTTCTTAGTATTTGATGTGGGAACTGCTGTGATCATCTGCCACAGAACAGTGTATCGCATGTCCTTCTGATATATCTGATGCTTACAGAGATATCTGCCTGGTCTTGTGGTTCAGATATTTTGCTTCAGAGTCCTTGATTTCGAGTTAAACCATTTACCAGCTGTGTACCTTGGGGGATGTCAACTTCTCTAAACCTAATTTTAATCGTCTTTGAAATGTGATTAATAATAGCAGTCAGTTCATGGTACTGATGTAACTGGCAAATGCAGTAATCAATTCATGGAATTTTATAAATGAGAGAATTTAGTGTCCCAGAAAAGGAATAGTGAACAAAGAAAAAATATGGGTGTACAGGAAAAATATATTTTATCAGCTTCTTTAAATAGTTTGATCCCAGTAATCCTGGGAAACCTGAGTCCTGTAATCAGTCTTTAACACCAGTGGTTAAATTTCTAGACAATATTTTCTAGAATCCCCTAAGCAATTAGCAGAATATTGCTAATTTCCTCAGTTTTCAAATGTTGATTAATGATTCAATCATTTTAGCAATTAAGATTTATTAAGTACTCCCTGGATGCTTCTTTCAGAGGGGAGTATGCAGTATAGTTTACGCCTTAAAGTAGACACTGGACAGCTCCTCATTAGTTTTCTTTGTAGAGAGTATAACAAGCATACACATGAAGATTGAGTGGATAGAGCTGATACACTGTTTTCCCCACAGTTTTACATGTGTTGCCATAAATGCCTGATAACTAGTCAGTAAAAGCCATTTAATATTAGAAGCAAAGTCCAAGAGTCAACATTAATTTTCACAATTATATAGCAAATATAATAAACTCCACTATTTATATTTTTTATTAAATGCAGTATCATTAATTCTACTTCTGGATTAATAGACTAGGTCATCTAAACTAGATTTTTCCTTTGAGAATTCAAAAGACTGAAGACAGGGTAGGCTTGATAGACTGATAACCCTTTTAGGGGGAGAAACCTTTTTTCAGTTGCATCGATTATTATTTTAAAGGCATTTTACCCAGTGAATTCCTTAGTTCCACTTTTGATCCTTATCTCCCTCATGACTTTGAATGTCCATAAGATGAATATTAATGATAGCCATACTTTCTATATTTGACATACACTGGTTTATCTTGCTTCAAAGTGACTACTTCTTTGTTGTATTAAGTTACTCTAATTTCCTACCTCCATGCCTTTTATTTTGCTCTGGAGGAAACCTTTCCAGGGCATGACCTAATGAATTCTGGTTCAAATTTCCAAATGAATCTGAACCAAAGTGATCTTATAATTTGGTTGAGGGAACCTTCATTAAATATCCTAGTGAGTAAAACACTTTTCTTGACATATTGAAATTGAACTTCAATGTTTATGAGAATATAAATTGCAGCAGCACGTTGTAACATGTCATGAGTCCAGTAGAGTCTTAAGTCAAGGGTTTTTACTTTCTCATAACCCCATTAAAAATAGCAATGTTTCTAATTATTTTTCCTTTAAAAATTAGAAAAATATGTCCTGCTCTCTGGAGAAATGTTGTCTTCACTTATTCCTATAATTTTTATGGTTGCTTGGTATATGTCTTTATAGTTTTTATGTGGCCTGACCAAAGTGCAGATTCAATTTTATAGGTATGCCCAGTTTGCCTTCTCTTTTAAAGAGAGTAGTAGCTTTCTAGTTGAAAAGGCTAATTTTTGTTTCTTCTCTTTATTCCTGGTCTCTTTGCAATCTTCTTATCTCAAAAGCTTCTTCATGTCACAGTTTCAAGAGAACACTCCATTTAATTGTAGGACCTCAAGGCATTAACTACTGTTGTTCATGTTATAACTGTGCTGTACATATATCTAAAGCTGAATTTGTCTTTTTTCTATAGCATTTCTTTTCTGCCCCACAAATGTGTTCACCAGACTACTGTGCGACCTGCAAGAGCTTCTAACTCTTATTATCTACTATTCTGGAAGGTTTTCTGAAAGCAGCATGGCATGATCATAAAACGTATTGTTTTCTGTCTGTTTGTTTTTAATATTTTATTTATTTATTTGACTGCACCATGTGGGATGTGATCTCTTAGTTCCCTGTACCAGGGATTGAACCCATGCACCCTGCTTCGAAGTGTGGAGTCTTAAACACTGGACTGCCAGGGAAGTCCCAAACATACCATGTTTTGATGGCTTATTGACTGGACTTCCTGGAAACTCAAGACATATGATTTCTTCTATTAACCAGTTGGCTAAAGCAATGAGTTTGCTGTGAATTGCAAGAATAGACAACGCACAAACTTATCTATAAAGTTTAGTGTACATCTTATTTGTGTCAGTCAACTGTGACAGTCACGGTATTTGTGGTAATTAAGAAAAACTGACTGGTGCTCTTTGAAGGCTGTGGGAACTGCAGAATTCAAGACAGGCTGGAAGCCTGAATCAGCAGGAAGTAAGGTAGCCCCAGGCTCTTCCTGGAAAGAAGCAGGACATCCAATAAAATTCTTTACAGGAAGAGTCTGAAAGCTCATAGCCCTGTTGCCTCCACCATTGTGAGCAATTCTAACTTTCTTCATCTTACAGCCATTTGCTCAGGAATCGAGGTCCTAAGCAAGAATGCCCCTTTAGCTGAGGCTCCATCACATGCCTACTCTTGTGGCCAGAAAGCAAAGAGAGGGAGAAGCTGACTTTTTTTTTTTGGTAGACTATAGACATTGAAAGTTTCTTCTCCTGAATTGAAAATAAAGTAACTTTATAGATAGATACAGATTAAAAAAAAAAACTGCAAACATTTATGATTTTCATAAAACAAAAATAACTAGATAGTAATCTTGACAATTTATTTTTAAAAGTAAGGGTTTTTCTGGGACATCGTATTAAAGCAGGAGAATCTCAACCCGGTAACATATTATCTTGTCTTGGAAAAGAAAAATGACATTTCTAATTTCTAATGTGTAAATTTACAGTAATATCTGCTGAATAGGATTAGGCTGAGATACTGAGATATTATTTACAATGCCTAAAAGATAATGACAAAGTACATTATTTGTTGTTTAGTCACTGAGTCACGTCTAACTCTTTCTGTGACCCCAAGGACTGTAGCCCTCCAGGCTCTTCTGTCCTTGGGATTTCCCAGGAAAGAATACTGGACTGGGTTTCCACTTCCTTCTCAAGGGATCTTCCCAATCCAGAGATTGAACTTGCATCTCCTGAATTGCAGGCAGATTCTTTTACTGCTGAGCCACCCTGGAAGCTCCATAAATACATTGAGGCATTCAATTTTTAATTATCTTTTTCTGCTTAGTCAGCTTATTATTTGATTGACATGGCTTGTGGCTCAGCTGGTAAAGAATTTGCCTACAATGCGGGACACCTGGGTTCAATCCCTGGGTTGGGAAAATCCCCTGGAGAGGGGAAAAGCTACCCACTCCAGTATTCTGACCTAGAGAATTCCATGGACTGTAAAGTCCATGGGGTCACAAAGAGTTGGACACGACTGAGTGACTTGCACTTTAACTTTGTGCTTTTTTAAAAGTTAATATTATTTTGCTGCATAATGATTCTGTTGATCAGTCTGAAATTTTTAAATGACTAATATACTTTGATGTTTTTCTCTTTAACAGACAGGCTAGCCTCAATGAAGCAGCTGAGAAGTATTATGATCTGGCAGCCAGACTGCGGCCTAATGTAAGTACCTTCATAATGAGAAGCATTACTCAAAGAGATAGATTCACAGCATGTGAGAGTTATAGACATAGAAGACTTGTGATACTGGGGTTTTTTCCTCTCTGATCTCTTATTTTGAATACATGCTAAATGGCTGATTCAACCATAAAATCTGCCAGTCTGAAGCTTCTTTCTGTTTCCAGAGGTACACATTTTGCTGTTTACTATCCTGTGTAAAGCACTGTATATTTTTATCATTTGAATACAGGTTTTAGCACTATTAAATATTCTGCATTTGGGTGATTATTAACATAAGTTTTTTGAAAGTATTTTTGCTTGATGTTGCATACCTCTGGATTTCCTAACCTCTCACTGATTCTTGCATGTGGTCAAACCTCAAGCTGTGTTCAGTTCAGTTCACTTGCTCAATCATGTCTGACTCTTTGTGACCCCATGGTCTACAGCATGCCAGGCCTCCGTGTCCATCACCAACTCCCAGAGTTTACTCAAACTCGTGTCCATTGAGTCAGTGATGCCATCCAATCATCTCATCCTCTGTCATCCCCTTCTCCTCCCACCTTCAATCTTTCCCAGCATCAGGGTCTTTTCCATTGAGTCAGCTCTTCGCATCAGGTGACCAAAGAATTGGAATTTCAGCTTCAACATCAGTCCTTCCAATGAATTTTCAGGACTGATTTTCTTTAGGATGGACTGGTTGGATCTCCTTGCAGTCCAAGGGACTCTCAAGAGTCTTCTCCAACACCACAGTTCAAAAGCATCAATTCTTCAGTGCTCAGCTTTCTTTATAGTCCAACTCTCACTTCCATACATGACTACTGGAAAACCATAGCTTTGATTAGACAGACCTTTGTTGGCAAATTGATATCTTTGCTTTTTAATGTGCTGTCTAGGTTGGTCATAGATTTTCTTCCAAGGAGCAAGCATCTTTTAATTTCATGGCTGCAGTCACCATCTGCAGTGATTTTGGAGCCCAAAAAAATAAAGTTAGCCACTGTTTGCACTGTTTCCCCATCTGTTGGTTATGAAGTGATAGGACCAGATGCCATGATCTTAGTTTTCTGAATGTTGAGCTTTAAGCCAACTTTTTCACCCTCCTCTTTCACTTTCATCAAGAGGCTCTTTAGTTCTTCGCTTTCTGCCATAAAGGTGGTGTCATTTGCATATCTGAGGTTATTAATATTTTTCCTGGCAATCTTGATTCCAGCTTGTGCTTCTTCCAGCCCAGCGTTTCTTATGATGCACTCTGCATATAAGTTAAAGAAGCAGAGTGACAATATACAGCCTTGATGTGCCATATCCCTATTCCAGAGTCCTCATTTCTAATAATTGTTCTTTTCAACTTTATCAAGTATTTTTTATTAGAATTTTTCCCTGAGTAGTCACACTTCCGTAAAGTAAGATGGATGGAAATTAGATCATTACTATTGAAATAGAGTAACCATTTATGAGAGTATAAGAACTGGCTTTGTATCGATCTTCTGAGCACTTTTTTATTCACAGTACATCACTGAATGCCATTTCTTTTATTCTCATCCACACTGCTCTGCGTCACTCTCCAACACTAAAACCTCCCCTCTGCTCTCTAGATCTCCACCATCTATTGAGAAATGTAATTTTCAAGCATTAATGGTAGTGCACGTGTGATGTGATTAATGTGACTACAAATAATGGAATCAGTCCCATTTCTTTACAGTAACTCATCCATTAGACAAACATCTATAGAGTGCCTACTTTGTGATAGAATACAGAGATTTTATACTCTAAAAGACTACACAATGTAGCAGAGAAGACTGAATATAATCAATTAATTGAAATACAGTATGGAACAAGAGGAGGATTGATGCTTCCTGAAAGCAACGCACACAGGAAGTAGCTTTTTTTCAGGAGACTCAGCTGCATGTAACCTTAGCTCTTGAATCTAAATGTCCCCAGTGTCATTAATTATAAGATGATTTAAGAATCAGTGAAGCTGTTTGCAACAGAAGAAAATAATTTAATAGTTGTAAGAACAAGTATCACCAAAATTTATTAAACAGTTGTTATGTGTCAAGCATTATGTTAAGTACATCATGTGAATTCTCTCATTCATCTCTCGCAACAACCCACAGATACTTCTGTGATCCTTGTTCTGCTGAAATTCAGAGAAATGAATAACTCACCCAGTATCACAGCTAGTAAGTGGAATCACATCGTAAGCCAGACTGCTGTGTGTATAAGAACAAAGCTTAATGGGAAAAAAAATGCAATTTTGTCTTAGAAAATGCACCAGAAGTCTAGAAAAACAAAAACAAAAAAATGATCTCAATTATTTATTAAATATTTAGAGAGCACCTGTTAAGTGCCAGACACTATTCTAAGCACTGGATACACAGCAGTGAACAAAGCTGAGAAGTCTGTGCTTCTTAGGAGTTTATAGTCTAGAGATGAGGAGACAGAGCAGAAGCAGATAAAGTATATAATATGTCTGATGCAGTAAGTGCTTTGAGGAAAAACAGAGAAGGAAAAGGGAATTAGGAGTTGCAAGGGGACATACATATGCAGGAGGCACAGTTTTGTATATGCCCAAGTTGAGCATCTTTGTGTAACATTTCTAAGAAAAGGATTGGACTTAAAACCTTAAACTTATTACTATAAGTGCACTAAAGACAGGAATCAGGAATTTTTTGTTTGACTTCCTCCCTCTGATCTTCCTTCTTTTCTTTGATTAATATAATTGATTGATAGGATCAATAATAGAATGATATAATAGTCTTAATATACATACTAAATGATGGTAAGTTCAACCTTTATTCATCCAGTAGCAGTCCCTTGACTGTCACTTTTATTTTTGTTAAGTGGTTGGTCAACTGGCTGTTTTCAGCACATTGTACTGGATTAGTGAGTAAAGGGCTATATCTGAACTCTCTGACCATACCTCAAAAATGAAAAAGACAATGGGGCACCACATGATTTAAACCTGACTTATGAGATTATTTATTTTAAATGACTGGCCAAATCATAAAATCAATATTTAACTAAAAGTCACATTTATGAAATCCCAAAACGTTTCTTCATACACATGCTGCAAATTGCTTTTGAAAAAAATGCATTTATTCAAATGATATTTCCCTTATCTGGTAACAATAAATTAAGTAGTTTATAGACTTGGCTAGGCTATGAGGTTTATATGTAGCAATAGCAAATGATGTTACAGTTTATGGATCAACATATGTGATCTTTCTCTAATCTATTTTACAACTTGTGTTTGGTTTCCTGTACATAATCGAGTAAGATGCCACTAAGACAAGACTGATAAAATACAGACCTTGACAATAATATAGGTTTCTATTCTGAAATGAAGAGACCGATGTAAACAACTGCCCCATGCCTTGAATTATTAACATTTAGCATGTGATCTAAATTAAAACATCCATCTGACATCTATCTTGCTCATAGCTGTTTATTCCTTTTGTCATAGAAGCATTCTTTGTTATTTCTGTACTTAATAAATTTCAGTTACCTGTTTATATGAGAACTTGGTAAACAGACCTCAACTCTTATTTCCTATTTACGTGCTTTCACTGTCTCTTCTATTTTTCTTGTCTACATGGTAATCTAATCTTACTCTTATTTTTCATAAAGCATTTTTTTCTGTTTAGTTTCAGTTACAACAATCTGTAGCTGTATGTGGGAAACTCTGTGGATTTTCCAACAGTGTTTGTATCAGATCATGACTATGCAAAGTAACATTTTTAGTTGTAACCCTCATGAACTACACACTTGTTATAAGAAGGTTGTTCACTATCTGTGGGGTGGATTTCCTTTTAGTAAAATATCTATTCCATTTCTTCATGATGGTCCATGCTGAATTATTTTATGTTTTCTCTTCTACAAAAGACTTATTTTTCTATACAACTTGCTTTAAAAATTATTGATTGACTTTCAGGATTAATAATATTCGAAAAATTCCAGTGACCCAAATGCTAAAATAATGAGGGAAGTCTAAATTAGCAGGTACCTATAATTGTAAATGTTAGATTCTGATATTATCTCTTCATCGGGGATATTTAATATATCAGCATTTACTGAAGTGCACATTTAGACTAAAGAAATACGTCTATTACAAAAATGATACCTAATTTTTATTTTTTGGGGAGTGATTGCTCTAAAATGAAACCTATTATATGAAAACATGTTTTCGTGGTGGGAAAACTACCAACATTGCCATTTTAGGTTTTCCACTTTCAGTTTTCCATTTTTATAGATAAAATTGATCTTTCTGTAGAGACTACTTTAAAAAGACAATGCTTTTCTGTCTTCTCTCCCACTTACACACGTCAAAAACTGCTGACTCTTAAGGACCAGAGGGAACATTAAAATGAAACTGTTTTGTTCCTCCTGTGGGAAGTAAGCCAAATTCTGCATTAATTTATGGGTTTTTAACTTTTCTTTAAAATGTGAATAATGGGAAATTTGCGTAGTACAAAGTCACCCAGTTCTGTTTGGCTTTTAGTCAATTACAGAGTTGAAGAGAGTAATTTCTAATAATGAGGAATTATATTTCTATATATTTTGTATTTTTATGCATGTAGTTGCTTTTGGTCTGAATTCATTCAACTTAACTTTTAAATTAAGTTACAACATTGTCTAAAACCCTATACAAAGTGCAGTAGAATTTCCAAGTTGTGAAAAGTTAACCCTGACCTTGAGAAGTGTACTATCTAATGTGGGCAGAGAGTGAGGGAGAGAATGCTTGGATTCAAATCCTTACAGTTCAGGGCAGTCAATGACGCTACATAGTGAGGGCTCTGTGAGTTGTGGAAGCTAGGTTCTGGAAAAGTGAATAGAAGAAAAAAGTTACTTTCAGTTGGAATGATCCTAGAAGACATTGAGTCAGAGTTGACAAACTTAGAGAATCTTGAAATGACTGGACATGCATAGGTGAAGTTTTTAACAGGATGAACAGAAAAGGGAGAAATCTGGCACGTAGAAGCATATGTGTTAACAAGGACATAGCCTCA